TATCCACTAAACTAAAACTAGTCCAACAACACACTCTATACCACTAAACTCTATCGAACCCTAATAGTGGTAGGCACAAAAGAAGGTGTGGAAAGACTTGGTCCGAGTTATTAGGGCCAAATAGAGCTCTATAGTATGTCACGAAGCTCTAATTCAGGGTCATGGGATTATAAGATTCACTTATCGAGGGGGTAATTAGCGAAATGTAAGGGTCAGGATAACAAACTCTTAATAGAGTCGAACTCTATTGAGTTATGCCAATTCTCAGTTTATCTGAGCTCTCGGCTAGTTGCTTTATTGTGAAGTCAAGAGACATCGTATTTATAGTTTTTACATTCCTATGATAATACAGGTTTGGAAGTTAAATTTATTAGCGAAATGGCATTAATGCCATAAGTAACATTAATGTCATTTGTGACATTTGTGAAAGAAATGCCATTTATGGACGAAATGCCATTAAGAGGCGAAGTGTCATTTGTGAAATTAGTGGCACCTATATCATAAATGAAAGAAGGGGAATAAGAATACCTATCCTACTAAACTTGTATGTATCCGACCCACCAATAAATTATAATTTTATTTCAAACTACAATCTACCCTTTCACAACAGTACAGAACGTACAGTACGTACAGTACGTACAGTACTGTGCGTATAGTACTGTACGTGGTACATTTTGGCCAAGATAGTCAATGCCTCCCAGGTTATGGTGCGTCATTATAATAAATTTATATGTCTAATGAAATGTGTCAAAGAGTGAGAAGATGAGTTAGCCTATGGGGAAGATGGGTTAGACGCATTGTTATTATAGATCGGAGTGCCAATAATTTTTTTGGGGGTTTCATATTAGAAAATTCGATAATAAATTTTGTTCCCAAAACTTAAATTGGGAACAAAAAATTAGTTAAATTTGACAAACGCGCCGTAATGGTAACAGGCTTCTGTTCCTTGATCTATCAATCGTCCATATACTTATAATTTTTTTATATAATTACAAGTTAATCGGATTTTTTGTTGAATCTATTGAGCTGGTATTCGAAAATATTCCAACGTGGTCATATTAATTTAACCTAAAATAAACTAACATTGGCGTTTAACTCAATCGTTCATTCCGCATGATTACTTATTCAGTATTTAATTTATCGAGCAAACTTTTATGATCATAGAATTTTTTTTATTCTCGTTATTTTTTGTATGGTATTGCATAAGCACAATGACTTGTAAAGCATGATCATAATTGCACGATAACTTTGATATTGATCATGCAACGATTAGTATCATAAAATTTGTTCTGTTAGAACAAATGTCATGATATTAATCGTTGCATGACTAATATTTTATAACTTTATTGCTTATTTTTTTTTTTCGCTTACCTGTTGTCACGGGCTAAAAGTTATATTTACGAAAACCAAAAGGCTTGGATGACGCATGAAGCTTGTCGGTTGAAGATGATGTAGAGTTAATCAATGGAGATCAAAAAAGCTGAGCACAGTGCACAAGAGGCTTAGTATAATCGCGGATAGTATGCCTCACCGTTAATCTGATAAAGGATGTAATTTGGGTAGCACATAAGAAATATGATTCCTTTTAATTATATGACAGAATCAACATAGTCACCTATCTGGCAACAAGTTTAAAAATAAAGGTATAATTTGCTAATTTTCACTCACACATTAACGACTTTAGATTCCGGATAATTACTGTAAAAGGTCATATAAAAGATCCCCTTTGATAGTAGACCCATCATGAATTAGACCTGCATATAAATCACAGAATTTCCATTACTGCATTAAATAAATGCAGATGATTTTAAAAACCTAGACTGCTTATTATAAATGCAAAGTACGTATGTATTGGAATTTACCTTTATATAATATAATGCTGAGCTTTGTATTAGACCGGGTCTACTATGGATTTTTAAAAATAAGTTGAATGTAACAAACCCAGGTCTTGTATATAACATTTTACGATAGGCAAAAGTTTTTTCGTATTATCAATCAATCAATGCAGTACAATCACTTATCATTATTCATTTAGTACTTGCACAATCATAAATATAAGAGCATTCTCTACTTTGCAGAAACCTTCGATTTTGCTAAATATGTTTACAGTATAGCTACAATATAATTTCAATATTACAAGAATTATTATATTAAATGTTAATCACATGTTAATATTATTATATTTTATAAGTATTTCTTTCATTCTGTTAAATCACTATTAATTTGATGTATAACATATGTTTATAATATAATTACGTAGATTTATATAATGTTATTTTTTTATTATCTAATAACAACTAATAATAATTTTTTTATTTTTCAATTTATTATAATTAATAACATTATATATCGGAAAAGTATTACACATGAAATTGGCCGAGGCTAAAAATTTGAGGTCTATTAAACAAAATGTTAAATTATAAAAACTAATTTATGACTTAATATATGGATCTAAAACATGATCACTAAACTCCGGATCTAAAACATGATAATTATAATTTAACACTTAAATATCAGTAAAAAGATAAGTTTTCGAAACATATTACCTATTATATTGCCTGACTTATCTTCTGCACTAATTCGTTGAGAAATTTCATTAGTATCAAAAAACTGGCTAGTATATGAACTATCTGAATTTTTTTGAGTTATTATTTGTAGTTGTTGAATTATGTCATCTGCTTCCCAGAATTTATTACTTATTTCTGATTTCTCATCTAATTCTTCTGACTCATCAAATGTATCTGAATCAACTATGTCAGCCATACCCTGCTCATTCATAAAATCATACCATTTTGAGAATTCATCAAAAGGCATTTTCACAGTAGGCCGATTTTGTGGGGTTGAATTCATACATGATTTTGATAATTTGATATAGCAATCAGGTGTTCCTGGTGCAAATTTCGGTCTCAATCCACCACAAATATGTATTATTAAACAAATAACCATCAAATGGTGGAATACCTGTGGTTATTTCTGCCATAACAACTCCAAAACTATATATGTCAGCAGCTTGTGAATATTGTTCGCCTAACAATATTTCTGGAGCAATACAAGGCATAACTCCACAGATTCGTTTTCTTAATGTTGATTCTTTATTATTTAGACAATCCCAGATCTGCAATATATGATTTTACTATTCTTTCAAGCCATAATTCCTCTTTATGCTGCAGAATATTACTACTGTGAAAATCACAATGAATATATCCTGCCTCATGAATTTGAATTAAATCTTTAGATATATTTCTTAAGTGTAATAATTTACAGAATTATGTTTTGTCAGTAAAATAGGATGGCAGTATTATAGTTGTTAGACGAAACCTCGAGGTTTCGCTCTGACGAAACGCGAAACCTAGTCTCGTCTTTCGTCAATTAAAATTTTAGATGACGAAATGACGAAACTGACGAAAGGTGACGAAACTGATGAAAGGTGACGAAACTGTAAAGGGTGAGGTAACATAGTGATGGCTGAAAAAATCCGCGATCAGATGATTTTTGATCGTTCTAAACCTCAGTATAATATCAACATACAAAAATTAGACATTAATGTATTAGTTTATTGGGTGATCATCTGATCGCGAATTTTTTCTGCCACCACTATGTTACCTATAAAGGGTGACAGAACTAATAAAAGACGAATATACAAATAAATGTTGTTGAAAATCATTGAAGATGTGTGTATAAAAAATAGTATAATAGGCGCTTTAATTGTTTAAAGGGAGTTAGAAATGAGTATTCTATATACATATCAGCCCTAGTGAAAAATCGCTTGGTGCTTACTTTGTAGATATTACAAATTTAGTTTGTGCTAGTATGTTTTAATACTTTATTTGTGTTATTCCATGAGTACTATGGCTTTTGACAAGGCTATTTCAACCGGACTAACATTGTCCAGAAAAATGAAATGGCTTATTTTGCTGGCATACATGTAATTTTGGATACTGATCTTTTAAGAGTTCATCTTTGTCAGAAGAATTTGGGGTTTCGGCTTTCGTCAGAGGTTTCGTCCTTTGGAGGTTTAGGTTTCGTCTTTCGTCATCATTTGAAAAAGGTTTCGTCTTACAACTATAGTCAGTATTATGACTTCAATGAAATGGTATTTCATTAAAATTGATTTCGGGAAGTTAATCCGTAATCGTTGAACCCAGGGCATTCGCAATAAAAATACCGCGATCTTGATATAACGATCGGGGTATTTTGCGGATAAGATTTGATTTATATCCGAATAATATTCATATTATTATATATCCAATGATTCGATTTAAATAACTCTTTTTATTTTAAAAGGCTTACTTATCTTTACAAAATAAAAAAAAAACTGTAAATTGGATTATTGGACTAGCAAATTTGAATTTTATTCATAAAATTTATATAGCCTCGGAAGATCATTTTCTTAGAATAGATCCCATGTAAATTTAGAGAGCTAAACTGCCTAATATTGTGAATTCTTACAAGTTTTCATTTTATAACTTACATACTAATATTGCTTACCAGAAAATTACTCATCAAATCTCAGTGCTATTAAAACTTTAATGCTATTTCTTAAAAGTTTTATAGCGAAAACTTTTAATTTCACCATAACGAGGAAGAATTATCTATATTTACTATATTTATTTACTTATTTATTTACTTAAATGTTTGGAGAAATGATGAATTGCTTATCTGGCTATTTATTATTCCTGTAATTGGCTTTTTTTTTAACCTAAATATTCAAGCCGATATCACCTCCTGCATTACATAAAAAGCCTCAAATCTTAAATTATTGTTTTTTTTTTTAATATTTAAAGTATAAGTCACAGGTTTATCTTTATTAATATTTCTTGACATCTGGCAAGTTATGCAATACAGCACTCGCTAGATTTCATTATGAATTTAGGATTGGGGATTCGTCCTTTTTGATTTTAGGTATCTTTAAAGTTTCGCCAGAAATTACATCTTTCGTCATCATGTGGAAAAGGTTTCGCCTAACAACAATGAACTATCATATAACCATTAGAGGTTGTCTTTCCTTTAGTTATTCCATATATTATTACTCTATTATTCGATTGCATATAATTTTCAAACTTATAAAAATAAATTATTGTTCGTTATTATTTATGTAATGAATGATTGATAAATATTATAATTTTAATTTACTTCTTTTATAAATTCTAAAGCGCTTCATCTGATTTTACTATCATATATCCATTGGTGGTTGCGCTGTCTTTAGTTACCCCATACACTATGCCTTTATTTAATTGCATATATTGTTTAAACTCAAAATAATTAATTACATGTCAGTAACAAATGCTATATTATAATTTATTGAGAAAGATTATAGATTAACATACTTCTTCTATAAATTTCAAAGTGTTTATTCGAGAACTAGGTAATGTTTTGAGCCTAACCTCGGAGTATATAATGCGTGTACGTCTATAACTACAGCTGATTCTTTTGAGTTCCCGGATACCATCTATCCAGGTTGCCATAAATAATAGCTCAGATTCATTTTCTTGAATTTTTTGCAAATTAGTTAATTTATCAAATGGAATCCATTCGATGACTTTCTCGTAGCTTGTAGCTTTAAGTTGAAATTCTTTAATGCATTCATCGATCCTCCTATCTCCACTTGACCATCATGCAGTTTCTTTTTGAGGATCACATTTTTTACACCAGTCTATAGAAATGTTGGGCTTTATACACGTTATACATTTTCCGAATCTTTTTTAAAAACTAATTAATAGTTTACTTAAATTTGATCTTTTAAAATTATTACTGCAGATCTTCATACTCACGGACTGAGAATATAACACGATTACATAGACTTAATAAGAAATCATTAAATATTAAGTTTTAAAAGCATTCAATATTGCTTACCGTTCGGCTGTAAAATAAAGAATATTTAAAATGCAATCATATTCTGGTAGAATTCATCAACGACCATTTCGCCGAAAATCCTTCTCTAACCTAGACTGGGCCAAACTTTGTCGACAAAATGATTATTGACGAAATTGGTTTACACTCATATGCAGATGGACCTTTTTAAGTGTACATTCTATAAGTTTAAATTCTATAAACGTACTCTGCATCTTAGTCCCAGTCATCAAAAAAAATTATAAATGTACACCCACTACAAATATACTTATTTTTATTGAGGGTAAAAGGTCCATCTGGATCAATTAAACTGTATGTAAATATCAAATACAGTCTCCCCTCGTTAATATCAACTTCGTTAATATCAACCTAAAGCTACAAGATAAAATTTTACAAATTATTATATATTAAAATTCCCTCATATATATCAACTTTATTATATTCCCTTGTTAATATCACTATCAACATGAATTTAAACTAATTCAAATAGGTTGATATAAACGAGGGTAGACTGTACCAATTTCAGTGAAAACATCCTGCACTCCATCTCCGTTCTTCGCACTAGTCTCGAAAAATAGCAAACCAGCTTCGAGTGCGTAAGCCTTAGCCTCTTCGGTTGGAACTTGCCTGCCAGTTTCTATATCCTTTTCTAAAGATTGAACGAGATCTATTTTATTGCCTACAAGAGCAATAATAATGTTTGGGCTTGCGTTATGGTGTAATTCTTTTACCCAGGATTTAGCTTTATCAAACGAGGTCTTATTATTAAGTTATATACAGTGAACATAAATTTATTGAATAATTTTTATGATATTGAAGAGAACCATTTAACAATGTAGTATATTTTAAATGTAATTTTAAATTCCAACTTACAGCCTTCGTTACATCATAAACAACTATAGCTGCCAGAGCATTCCTATAATACTTTGAAGTAAGTAAATGAAATCTTTCTAGACCGGCAGTGTCCCAAATTTCAAACTTTATCACAGCATCTTTACAACGACACTTCGTTGTTAAGAAAGCTGCTAGAAATATTTCAAAGTGAAAATGTTCATGTATATTCAAAAATTGACAAAGGTGGAAAAATGAAGTTTTTAAATGATTATTCATGTATTTATCGATCGGTTTTAAGTTACCTACCACCAATAGTTGGCTCCTTATTCTCCTGGAATTCATCATTGATATATCTGATCACTAAACTAGATTTACCAGTAGCAACGTCGCCTGATAATAAGCAATAAGACACATAATTAGTTTGACACTTATGTGTTAATGTAGGAATTGAGTTGTATAATCCAACGAAATTAGAAAAATTCTAAAGGTAATAATTACAGTCTGTTATTAACTTACCTATAAGCACTAAATTTACGTTAATGTAAGATGAGGTATTTGACATATTTGGTATTTTTTGTCATTATAGGTGTTATTAAAAGGTGACAGTTATCAAGAGAGAAAAAATATCAAGTATGTATTGTACGTACGTACGTATATGCGTGCATAAATGCATTATGTTATTTCTGTATTTAGTTTTGCTAGATTTGACCCCTGTCCCGATTGGGACCTCACGAGCATGTGACCTGTGGCTGCGTCAATAAGGAACTACAAGTTACTTATCAACAACTTGAAGAAGCACTTGATTAACGTGACATACGACTCCGCAGTAGATCGGCCTGAACCTTTGAACCATATGACTGGGGATGATCGAAGGATAATTGCACCACGGATCTTTGTATTATTGCCTGAAGCATATTAACTTACATATATGCTTATTGCCTAAATAGTAAATACTATACAAAATTCTGTTGCCTTATTGGTCCTGATAACAGAATGCATGACATGACATCAATAATGCTCCCAAATGGGTACAATAGCTGCCATTGTGGGTATGATCCTAAAAATTAGGCAGTCTTAATATCAGGTAGGTTGGTCAAAAAGGCATATTTAACCTGTGCCTTTCAAAAGGAAATGAAGCAATATTGGGAATGATTGCTAACAGGTGAAAATATGGTAAGATAAGGAGTGCAAACAGGTGAATGTAGAGTGAAGAAGTTGGAGTTAAAAGGAATAAGTGGCAGAAAAGGTTTCTAATCAATAGATAGAGATAGGGTATTAGTTGTTTATTGTAATTAAATATGTGGCTATGATAGATATTTAAAGGCCAAGATTTTGCCTTCAGCTAGTTTTTTCAGATTTTGATTTCCCTTTAATAATAATATATCTTCATATATATAATTCTCTTAATAGATAGTTTGAACTTTCTTTTATATAATAACTATCTTTATATAATTATTTTTTGTAACTAATAAATAAGTTTTGTGTTATAATACACAATTCAGTATTTTAAGTTAGTTCATTAAAAATCTTAATGATTGTGGTTATGTAAGATATGTAATTTATTATTTGTTGTGTTATTTGCTACAACCTTTTATATCTTTATATACAATTGAGTTGTTTATCTCTTTCACCTAAGCCTTATTAAATTCTCTTTGATAAGTTGTATTATCAATACTTTATTAACTTGCCAAGTTACTAGATTATAGTCTTCATACTATTAATCTTCTAGTTCTCTGAGTGTATAAAGAGGTCAACTTCAGATATAATAATGCATATATAATTTTGTATAATATATATAAATAGTGTAATTCATAACATTACAAAAGTGTAAAACAAATAAAGTAGAAATATAAATTTGATAAATATAACATATCTTATTTTTAAATCAAACTTATATATATTTTTGTAATAGTAAAAAAAGCATAAATATAAAAATCTAATTTACAAGAAATAATTGTATGTATTATATTTCTCATTTACTTTACATATTTTGTACTCTATTTCTATAAAATTGCTATTTTTTAATTTGATAAAAGTTGATACACAAAAACTTTTTTTTAAAAATTCTTTTTTATATCAAGGCCAGACCAATTTAATTCTTTGTTTAATATAATCCATTATTCTTATTTTTTAAAATCTAATTCATATTAATAGTAATTAATAGTATTTGTTCTCTTAATTTGTTTAAATTTTATATAATCAACATATATAAAATTAACTAATAAAATTGCATTATTGATATTTTTGTGTATTTTTTCCAATATCATACCCTCTTTTTATAGTTATTTTATATTTTGATAAACAAATAATCAAATTGGTCTAGCTTAACTAAGAAATATACAAAAATATTATTATATTAAATTTATAAAATACTTTAAAATTTAACAAATTGACTACTAATACATTTTGGTTAAAATAGTAAATATTTCTAAGTTATAATATGTTATTTTAATAAATTTCTATATTTAATAAGATTTGTTAAAGTAAGTTATTAATTTATCAAATAAATTTTATTAGGGTTTATATTGATTGATTAACATGTTAATTGTTAATTTAATTAGTAATTCATTATTAACTAAAAAGTAATCATAGTAAATGTAATACAGATTACTTATAAAAATTAAAGTTTTGCAAATATGACATGTGTGCATTTAAAACATTTTTTTATACTAAATTAACTACTCTTTTAACTTAAAAAATTTTTGTAAAACTTGTTCAGATATATCTAATAATAGTTAAACTATTAAAATTAGCTTAGTAGATGCTAAAATATCTTTAAAAACCTTTCTTTAACTATATAAATTTTTTGCAAAATTGCTCATCGTATACCCAACTTTTATAGCTATGCAAAAATCTAGAATTTGCTTTGTATATTGAGTCTAACTATTATTAATTGATTCTTTTACATCTTACACATAAATAGGCTTTCCTGTCTGCCTACTTATATCATTTTTCTTTAAAAATAGTCTACAAAGTGTAGAGAACATTATTATTTTAGAGATGGTAGCTAGTGTAGAACCCAGGCGGACTACTTAAATTAGATACCAAAAGTATACGTGTGACTAGTTGTATCCTCGTGAAATTGATGTAATATCATAATTACCTGAATAAAGCTAAGTGCTGAGGGACCCAAGTGGTCACCTTAATATTAAAAAAAAAAAAAAAAACTTCAAAAAATATGCAAAATCAATTTTTATAATCCTATAGGTTGTAGTATAGTAGTTATGGTATATATTACTACAGGATGTTTGAATTCCACTGGTAGCATGTTAGACCCAGTGTACCATGGTAGCATTACTGACTACAGTATGAATATTCACATTTTGCTATTTTTTAAAAATTTTTATAGTTATTTTAATTACTATTACAATTCTTTTCTTTATATCTTTTATATTAAGTAAATATTTAATATTGCAAATCTATAAACTATATCATTTATAATACTATTATTTTATTTTATTTTTTTATTTTATTTTTACAACTTTTATTCTTTTAACCTCTACTATATATTTTTCTTATATATTTTTCTATATCTTCTTTTTTTTTTGCTTTTTCAAAATCGTCATCTGTGGGATTCGAACTCTAGGCCTGCCGTCTGGGGGTGCGACAACTCCACCACTTCACTAAGTTGCCACACCCTTTTTTTTGAAGTTTTAATTTGGATATGATTTACAAATCAGATTATTTGATTTGAACATGTGTTAGTTTATTAGAGAATTTTGTATTATACAATACATATTTGCATTAAATTTAAAATTTTTAGATTTTGTTTAGGTTGAAGTAGAAAATAGATCGATAAAGTTATTTTAGACAGCATTTGAAAAGAAGCTTTAAGCAACGTTTGCTACCAAAAGGAGTAGACAATTTGCTTCAAGATAAGATTGTAGATTTAACTCATGAAGAAGAAGTGCTTTTGTTCCAAAGTGAAGTTGTGTAAACTGAAAGTAAAATTTCAAAAAAGAGAGCTAGAGATATTTATTCATATAAGATTTTTGGAGTTGGGTTTACAAGAATGTAATGGTATGTATCTGTATTAATATATAGAAGTTAGTAGTAAAATTATAATTCTAAAGTAATTAATTATAAATATTATAGTTTGCAAAATGAAGAAAAGGTTTTAAAAAAAAGATTAAAAGAAATAAATAATCATATATATAATCAGGAGTTATAACATGATAGTGAAAATGAACAAGTTGATCATATTTTAGTATATTTTTTTAATCAGAAAGCAAAATATTTACAAAGATTAGAGAGAATAAAAATGTTGCATTGGGTAAAAAGTTTTAGTAAAATTATTAGTAGTAGAGATATTGTAGGAGGTAGTTAGAATATAAAATTGTAGATAATAAGAAAGGAGTAATATTGAGTATAGGTATAAGAAAAAGAAAGATATTTGTTTATTTGTTTTGTAATAAATTGGTTTGATAATTATATGTATTGAGATTTTAACAAAGTTTAAAATAAAGTTATAAACCAAAATAGAAAGGTATATTATAATTTTGATGAACTGCTTAAATAAATAAATTAATAATCTATTATAGATAACAAAACAGAAGAAAAATAGATTGAATATTAGTTTGGAGAGAGAATTAAGTAATCAGGAAGAGTTTGTTCAGTTATATCAAGATATATATGTATTTTAAGTATAATAATATTAATTGATATTTTATAGAGTCGAAAGAAAAAATGCTTGAGCAAGTAATAAAGAAATAATTTAAGAGTTTGTAGAGGTGAAAGAAGTAGTAAATTGTATTTTTAAGAAATTTGTTAAAGCATATCTACTTAGAAGGATGGGATAACTTGGTATCTAAAAAGGAAATAGGATTTTTTGCAAAATTGCTCATCGTATACCCAACTTTTATAGCTATGCAAAAATCTAGAATTTGCTTTGTATATTGAGTCTAACTATTATTAATTGATTCTTTTACATCTTACACATAAATAGGCTTTCCTGTCTGCCTACTTATATCATTTTTCTTTAAAAATAGTCTACAAAGTGTAGAGAACATTATTATTTTAGAGATGGTAGCTAGTGTAGAACCCAGGCGGACTACTTAAATTAGATACCAAAAGTATACGTGTGACTAGTTGTATCCTCGTGAAATTGATGTAATATCATAATTACCTGAATAAAGCTAAGTGCTGAGGGACCCAAGTGGTCACCTTAATATTAAAAAAAAAAAAAAAAACTTCAAAAAATATGCAAAATCAATTTTTATAATCCTATAGGTTGTAGTATAGTAGTTATGGTATATATTACTACAGGATGTTTGAATTCCACTGGTAGCATGTTAGACCCAGTGTACCATGGTAGCATTACTGACTACAGTATGAATATTCACATTTTGCTATTTTTTAAAAATTTTTATAGTTATTTTAATTACTATTACAATTCTTTTCTTTATATCTTTTATATTAAGTAAATATTTAATATTGCAAATCTATAAACTATATCATTTATAATACTATTATTTTATTTTATTTTTTTATTTTATTTTTACAACTTTTATTCTTTTAACCTCTACTATATATTTTTCTTATATATTTTTCTATATCTTCTTT